TCCTCTCACCCAACCTTTTAACTTGTATGCAGAACACATCATGCGATGTGCGGGGCTCGAGGAATTCAAGCTGGGGTGAAAATTGCTGGAAGAAACATTAACAACCTCAGATATGCAGATGACACCACTCTGATGGCCGAAAGCGAGGAGGAGCTGAGGAGCCTTCTAATCAAGGTGAAAGAAGAAAGCGCAAAAGCTGGGTTGCAGCTAAACATTAAAAAAAAACCAAGATTATGGCAACAAGAATGATTGACAACTGGAAAATAGAGGGAGAAAATGTGGAGGCCGTGACAGACTTTGTATTTCTAGGCGCAAAGATTACTGCAGATGCAGACTGTGGCCAGGAAATCAGAAGACGCTTACTTCTTGGGAGGAGAGCAATGTCCAATCTCGATAAAATAGTAAAGAGTAGAGACATCAGACTGGCAACAAAGATCCGCATAGTCAAAGCCATGGTATTCCCTGTAGTAACCTACGGATGTGAGAGCTGGACCTTAGGGAAGGCTGAGCGAAGGAAGATAGATGCTTTTGAGCTGTGGTGTTGGAGGAAAGTTCTGAGAGTGCCTTGGACTGCGAGAAGATCCAACCAGTCCATCCTCCAGGAAATAAAGCCCGGCTGCTCATTGGAGGGAAGGATACTAGAGACAAAGTTGAAGTACTTTGGCCACATCATGAGGGGACAGCAAAGCCTAGAGAAGACAATTATGCTGGGGAAAGTGGAAGGCAAAAGGAAGAGGGGCCGACCAAGGGCAAGATGGATGGATGGCATCCTTGAAGTGACTGGACTGACCTTGAAGGAGCTGGGGTGGTGACGGCCGACAGGGAGCTCTGGCGTGGACTGGTCCATGAGGTCACGAAGAGTCGGAGACAACTGAACGAATGAACAACAAAAAACCAAGGGCTAATAAAAGGCCCTTCCACACTGCTCTTTATCCCAGGATCTGATCCCAGATTATCTGTTTATCCCAGGTTATCTGGCAGTGGGGGCTCATGTATTCCTTTTTAAAGCAGATAATCTGGGGTCAGATCCTGGGATAAAGAGCAGTGTGGAAGGGCCCTTTATTAGCCTGCCAAACGTGATCACAGGCCATTATTGATGGTGAGACCCAAGTCTAAATGCAAAACGCACTGCTGTTTCATATCTGCCTTACCGCCACCCAGGTGGGCGCTTTGGGTGTGTTTTGGGATCCCAGAGAAGGGATGCTCAACCTGCAATGCTTTGAGAAAGCCTTTTTGAAAAGAAGATCATGCCCTGATCCGCCTCCTCCTCCCCCTGTTCCAGTTCTCCTTCACTCCAGGGCTGCTTCTCCCTTTACCTGGCTTGTACCATCGGGTGAAGTAGCGCTCCGTCACCCCGGGCACCGTTGCCATGGCAGCCGGCGCGTCAAAGTCTCCCCCTCCCCCGTGAAGTGCGCGCATGCGCCCAGCTAACTTCCTTCCCGCCTGCCCCGCGAGCCGTTGGCGGGGGCCCTCTCCTTCCGCTAAGCTAACGACGACCCGGAAGAGAATCCCCAGCAGCAAAGAACAGGAAAGAGAAGAAAGCACCTTCCTCTTTCCTTGAGCAGGAACTTCCGGGCTCAAGGGTATGTATGTATGTATGTATGGTACATGCCGCCTCTCTCTGGGAGTGAGGCATAATAACATTAGTTGATACCCGCCACGCGTTGCTGTGGCCAACCTTCCCTCTTTCTCTCCTTCCTTCACTCCCTCTTTCCTTCCTTCCTGTCTTTACTTATCTTCTTCCTTCCTTCTCTACCTCTTTTCTTCTTTCCCCCCTTTTCTTTCTCTTCTGCTCTTTTCTTCCTTCTCTCTTTCCTTCCCTCCCTCTTTCTCTACATCTTCCCTTCCTTCACTCTTTCTTTCCTTCTTTCCCTTTTTTCTTTCCTTCTCTCCTTCCTTCCTTCTCTAACTTTCCTTCCTTTCCCCCTTTTTCTTTCCCTCCCTCTTTCTCTCCTTTCTTCCTTCTCTACCTCTTTTCCTTCCTTCTCTCTTTGCTTCCATGCTTCCTTCTCCCTTTCCTTCTTTCCCTCCCTCTTTCTCTACATCTTCCTTCCTTTACTCTTTCTTTCCTTCTTTCCTTCCTTCTCTAACTTCCCTTCCTTCCCCTTTTTCTTTCCCTCCCTTTTTCTCTCCTTTCTTCCTTCTCTATCTCTTTCCTTCCTTCTCTCTTTGCTTCCATGCTTCCTTCTCCCTTCTTACTTTCCCTCCCTCTTTCTCTACATCTTCCTTCCTTTACTCTTTCTTTCCTTCTTTCCTTCCTTCTCTAACTTCCCTTCCTTCCCCTTTTTCTTTCCCACCCTTTTTCTCTCCTTTCTTCCTTCTCTATCTCTTTCCTTCCTTCTCTCTTTGCTTCCATGCTTCCTTCTCCCTTTCCTTCTTACTTTCCCTCCCTCTTTATCTACATATCCCCGCTTCCTTCACTCTTTCTTTCCTTCTTTCCCTTTTTTCTTTCCTTCTCTCCTTCCTTCCTTCCTTAACTTTCCTTCCTTCTCCCTTTTTCTCTCCTTTCTTCCTTCTCTATCTCTTTCCTTCCTTCTCTCTTTGCTTCCATGCTTCCTTCTCCCTTTCCTTCTTACTTTCCCTCCCTCTTTATCTACATATCCCCGCTTCCTTCACTCTTTCTTTCCTTCTTTCCCTTTTTTCTTTCCTTCTCTCCTTCCTTCCTTCTCTAACTTTCCTTCCTTCTCCCTTTTTCTCTCCTTTCTTCCTTCTCTCTTTGCTTCCATGCTTCCTTCTCTTTCCTTCCCTCTTTCTCTACATCTTCCCCCTTTCCTTCACTTTCTTTCCTTCCTTCTCCCCTTTTCTCTCCTTTCTTTCTTCACTTTGCTTCCATGCTTCCTTCTCCTTTTCCTTCTTTCTTTCCCTCCCTCTTTCCCTACAACTTCCCCCCTTCCTTCACTCTTTCTTTCCTTCTTTCCCCTTTTTCTTTCCTTCTCTCCTTCCTTCCTTCCTTCTCTAACTTTTCTTCCTTCCCCCTTTTTCTTTCCCTCCCTTTTTCTCTCCTTACTACCTTCTCTCTCTTTCCTTCCTTCTCTTTGCTTCCATGCTTCCTTCTCCCTTTGCTTCTTACTTTCCCTCCCTCTTTCTCTACATCTTCCTCCCTTCCTTCACTCTTTCTTTCCTTCTCTCCTTCTTTAACTTTCCTTCCTTCCCCCTTTTTCTTTCCCTTCCTCTTTCTCTCCTTCCTTCCTTCTCTACCTCTTTCCTTCCATGCTTCATTCTCCCATTCCTTCTTTCTTTCATAGAATCAGAGATGGAAGAGACCTTATAGGTCATCCAGTCCAACCCCCTGCCAAGAAGCAGGAATATTGCATTCAAATCACCCTGACAGATGGCCATCCAGCCTCTGTTTAAAAGCTTCCAAAGAAGGAGCCTCCACCACACTCCGGGGCAGAGAGTTCCACTGCTGAACAGCTCTCACAGTCAGGAAGTTCTTCCTCATGTTCAGATGGAATCTCCTCTCTTGTAGTTTGAAGCCATTGTTCCGCGTCCTAGTCTCCAAGGAAGCGGAAAACAAGCTTGCTCCCTCCTCCCTGTGGCTTCCTCTCACATATTTATACATGGCTATCATATCTCCTCTCAGCCTTCTCTTCTTCAGGCTAAACATGTCCAGCTCCTTAAGCTGCTCTTCATAGGGCTTGTTCTCCAGACCCTTGATCATTTTAGTCGCCCTCCTCTGGACACATTCCAGCTTGTCAATATCTCTCTTGAATTGTGGTACCCAGAATTGGACACAATATTCCAGGTTTCCCTCCCTCCCTCCCTCTTTCTTTTCTTTCTTTCTTTTCTCCCCTTCCCTCCCTCTTTCTTCCTTTTTTCTGTATTGTCATTTAGCTTTTCGTCATTTAGCTTTTTGGGGCTTTTGAAGTCCCTTCTGCTGTGTTTTTCAGTGTTTTTATGAGTGAACGACATACATTGTGTTGTTAGGTGTATTGTGTCCAAATTTAGTGTCAATTCCCCCAGTGGTTTTGGAGTTCTGTTAATCCCATAAATGAACATTACATTTTTATTTATATAGATAACCAAGCATTCAAAGACATGGCCGTGTTAGTTAGGAGTAACAGTATGTGAAGGGACTTAGAAGCAGGTCTGAAAATGAAATGCTACTCAAAACCTTCCTAGACTTGGAATACAGAAAGGCGCCATCGACACTGCCATATAATGTAACTCGAAACTCCCATTATATGGACAGTCTAAACCAGGCACTCTTGCAAGCCACGAGAAACCAGTGTCATTGTGGCTGAGGCCCAGCAGTGGCCCCAGACAGACCTCTGGGTCATTACAGCTCCTCATAGTAAATAAATACAGCCCATTTGGTGGTTCCTGCTCTTCTGGCTAGTTCCCTTCAGCCATAAAACCCACCAGTTACTATCTCAACCACACATGAAAGCAAAGATAAAACCTCATGGTAGTTTAGCCGTAGGGTCACCATAAGTCAGAAACAACCTGAAGGCACAGAACAAGAACATGTGTATAAGGTTGTGCTTTTATGACTTCCACTTTCACATTAGGAAGACCTTCTTGACTGTAGGAGCTATTTGAGAATGATAGCAACTGATATGAGGGTGGTGGTCTTTCCTTCCTTGGAGGTCTTTAAACAGATTGAAGGGCTATATCTCAGGGTGTGTTGGCCTGCCTACAAGGAAGTTCAGGGATTTCTACAACAACATAACTTTATTTTTGATAAAATGTACCCTAACATTGTTGTAGTGGTCATACCTTCATCAAATTTCATATTTAGAATCATAGAATCAGAAGAGACCACATAGGCCATCTAGTCCAACCCCTGCCATGCAGGAAAAGTACAAAGTACCCCTAACAGATGGTCATCCACCCTCTATTTATTTTTTTTTTCAAAGTCTAGGTTTAAATTATACTGTGGGTTAAAACTATACTTTTGTTTTGAGTAGAAAATGTGCCTGTTTAATGTACATTACAATTGTCATACCATACTAGGATGTTACAAATTATTCTCTTAAGTATAAATAAGCAAACAATAATGAATTGAAATGTTTTATTATCAAAAAAATGTCCATGGTAAGCCAGTTAACAATACATATCCAACTTAAAGTTTAGAGGTATATTCCAGTCCTCTATTCTTTCAAGACTTTTAGATAATTAAGTGCTGTGTCAAATAGAGGAATGAATTCCAAATTTCAGGAGTCAAGAGCATTTTTTGCTCAAAATGTAGATATAAGACTTCTGCTACAAATCTTTTTGACTTGTAGCAGAATCTACCTTTTTCTAGATGTTAGCAACATCCACCTTACATATGTAAAAGCTACATTTTATCCCAAATGCTTCTGATCCATGGATTTGACCCACTAATATATACATGCATGTCCAGTTTTGTAGAATGCATTGGATTGAACTTCAACCTGGAGTAAATAAAATGTATGTACATAAATAAAGGTAAATATATAGATTTGAAGTACAAAATTTGAGTAACTCAACTCTTAATATTTAGCTTCATTTATGTGCAATGGCCCTTGGTATACTTTGGAGTTGGTAGCTTACACACACACCTGTGAATACCAAAATCAAATGGTCTAGTAGAATGGTGTCCCTTATATAAAATGGTAAAATCAAGGCCTAATTATTCAAAATATGTTTTGAAACTGGATGGTTGTACCTGCAAATACAAAGAGGTGACTATATAGAGATTGGGTATGTTTTTGGGAGATGAATAAAGAATATAAAACACTTTTTACATTTGAAGTGCTTAAAAACCTCATAAGACATTTGAAGCACATTTAAAAACATTATTTAATGTGTATCTCATCTTTCTACCCAGATTGGGATTATAGTGGATGGTGACACTTTAAGATACTATATTGATGAACAAATCTGTTACTGTATGAAGTCAAAGTATGAAATGTCTCGTATCACATGTTTTCGGACTTCAGCAATTCTATGTTACACTCATAATGAAATCTTATAGCACCAAGTACGCAAGAATCCAGTTACTTCGGAAGTGAAGTATATTCTTTCCATCACTGTTTCTATCTTTAGCATATGCATGGTGTGAAAAACTTGTTCCGAATCAACAATTCACTCTCTCTACTCATTGGCTTCTGAAGGCGCACATACCCAGCTAAATTTAGAAAGAACTACAACACAAAGCATACAGCAAGATTACCTACAATCATCTTCTTACTTTTATCTGAAAAGTTCTTTCCTTCAGCTATTCCATTAATGCAGCACCATCTTTGGCAGCCTGCCTTGTTCACCACCTTTATGTTCCTGCCAAACACTTCCATCTACTGCATGGTTTGTGAAAAATATGCCAAATTCCCACAGGGAACTGCACAGATTTGTTCACTGCAGATGTTTGGCTTTATATGTTTAGGTCAACTGAACGTTTTTGTAAACCTTTAATGCAGATAGATCAAAGATCATGTAATTTTAATGGCAATGCAATATTAAATATCTTCATTGAGAAACTTGTTTATAGCCTAAGAACTGACGTACTCTGAGTACTATTTTTTTCTATTGACCGCAGCAATGGAAATGATAACTTTAGGTTGCTTATTCCATATTAGGGACATTAAAAGTAGTACCACTTCACATGTTTGTACCATATACAAGACAAAAAATCGACACTGCATGCTGTAGATACAATTGCAATATTAAATAATGGCAAAACAGTTTACAATTCATCCCTTATAGTTTTAGTATCCATTATTTTTGGTAAAATGGTAAAATGCCAGTACCGCACCATGTGTGCAATGAGTGCAATGAGTTCACTACCCAAAGAAAAGTCCAGTCTATGTGCCTTGTCTGTAGGCAGTTAATTGGGGTAGCAAAGGGGGGGGGGGAGTGCCTAACAGTAACATTTTCAACATCAGAAACAGAAAGTAAACAAAGCAGGGTTTACTTTATAATATCATCTCCATGAATCTTCTATACATGGAAGTGGCTGAGATGTAGTAGCGGCTCTTTACTGGATAAAAAAAAGGGTAGCAAAATGTTGTTTTCCTCCTTCCCAGGAGCACTCCACATCTTACATTTATCTAGAGGGCCATTCATGTTTCAAGCTGATTTTCAAAGGGCACAGAAGGAAGAACTGGCCAGAATTTTCTAATATTTCCTCCAGTGCAAGCAAAACTGCACCAAGAGTCAGTCCAGATCCAAATCTAGATGTTTATGCTGAACACAATTTTATGTTCAAATACAGAAATAAGAAGCATAATACCAAAACCTAACAAAATTCCAGCATTCTGTAATAGAAAGTATCCCCACCGACTACATCCATGATCACTAGCATCATTATGGAGCATTTCAGGCACCTGGATTTAAAAACAAAACACAAATGGATATGAAAACATTAAAAATGCAAAGGCATGTTCTGAGTAATTGTCAAATAGCAGTTAGAAATCTTTAACATTATAAATCATACATATTATATCTTCATCCCCTAACAGGAATAGATACTGTACAGAGTCTCTGACAAATATAACAATATGCAGACTATACGCTCTGAAACACTTTAAGGTGGATTGACACTGCCATATAATGCCATGTAAAACTGCATTCAAAAAATATAAAACCATATACGGGCAGCCCCCAAGTTTAAAAAATCCAACTTACAACTCACTCGTAGTGACAAATGGGGCTGAGACAACAGGAAGTTAGAGAAATCTACCCCTAGGAAGGGAAATTGATTCCTGAAAGGGTTATCATGGAGAAACGGGGTCTCCACTGAAGCTTTCTCACCAATCTTTATTTCCACAACAAGCCATTTCTTTCAAAATTCAATGATCACAGGGACAGAAGGTGAGGTGAAATTTTCTGGACCGGAGGGGGGGGGGGGGAGAGACTGCAAAACCCTTCCCTATGCTATCCAAAGCTTATGCCTCTCTGTCTTTCTTTCTTATCTATCTAGCTATCTATCTATCTCTGGAGTTAAGACTTTTTAAAAAGTACTTGTTCTGATTTACATACACATTCAACTTAATAACAAATCTACAGAACCTATCTTGTTCGTAACTTGGGGACTGCCTGTAATGGAGTTTGAACTGTTCCGAACTGCATTATATGGGCCTACTCTGACCATATCATTCAGTTCAATGCAGTTTAGATCCAGCCTTACACTCTCTGCTTCTACCTGACTTCCTTGCTTCCCACTCTGCTTTTACTCTAACAGAAGTACCAGACTATGAGTCCAACATGCTCAGATCATATTGGCGTAATTGGGTTTTCCCTTCTGGCATTTTTTTTTGTTTGATATTTTAAAAAAAATCCCCAGTGTGTCAAATTTGAAAAAAAAGATGTCTGGTTCTTATACCACACACAGAAATTACCTCTATTTTCTGGATACATTTTATCCACTACAAACATGTGAGCTAGATAGACTTCACACATTCATATGCTCACATACTCTTTGAGTGAAACTTCTCAGTAATGTAAGAAAACCCTAATTTCTTTTACAACCAAATCTAAGAATTGGCTGCATTGGTAAACAAGGATATACAATTTCAACACTGGGTTGTTGTAGGTTTTCGTGCTATATGGCCATGTTCTAGAGGCATTTTATCCTGACGTTTCGCCTGCATCTATGGCAAGCATCCTCAGAGGTTGTGAGGTCTGTTGAAACTAGGAAACCTCTGAGGATGCTTGCCATAGATGCAGGAGAAACGTCAGGAGAAAATGCCTCTAGAACATGGCCACATAGCCCGAAAAACCTACAACAACCCAGTGATTTCAGCCATGAAAGCCTTCGATAATACAATGTCAACACTGCCTACATACTTACCATATCAACGAGAGCAACATACATGAACAGCCCAGCAGTCAATGCAAAGATCCACATAGAAACATTGTCAGCATAGTGGCCAATGAGTATCCCAGTAGCCATTCCAAGGTATGCCAGCATAGCTGAGAGGGCATTATAAAGAACAGCTTGCTTGACAGTCATGCCAGCTTTCAGAAGCACAGCGAAGTCTCCTGAGAGAGAAGGAAAGAGACAGAGATGACAAACCAAACCAAACAGCTATCATATTACTTAATTTCTGCCCACTCAAAAGATGCCCAGATACATATTTTAAGCCTTAAGCTGCAGGAAAGGAAAAATCAAGAAAGGTTAAAGTAACTCTGAGTAAATGTTACAGAACAGGAAGCTTTTCTGTTCAAAGAGACAACAGAGGTAAGTAAAATTATGCATGGTCTGGATAAAGTAATATATAACCATAATTAAACAGTCAAAATCTCTCAGTTTCTATTTGTTTTACCTGTGATATCACTAATGCAATTAAAGCACACAAACAAAACCCTATTATTCACTCAAACATGCATGCCTTACCTAATTCATGTGGCAGCTCATGGCAAAAGACTGCAACAGAAGTACTTAAGCCACTGGACAAGCCTTCAGTAAATGCAGCACCTTGGAGGAGATAAAGAACATTACTGAGCAACAATCTCATCAGGAATTTCCAATTATAGCTCAGCAGAAATGGCAAAATGCTGAGGTGTGAAAAATGGCATTTCAAAAGTAACAAATACCACACTATTCATCTTTTATACATATCCAAGCTAAGGTAACTATCACTCTGTACACTTTTGAACTTCAGCTTCTTTTACTCTGATGTTATTTTTCAGGGGGAATTCCCCATCACTCCAGCATGTGCATTTATACCTGCTACCCTGAGGACAATAGTTTATATATCTTATTAGGCAGAAAAAATCCATGATATATTTAAAATATCTTATTCACAAAAGTGCCCAGGATGATTTTTTGTTTTTCTACATAGTAAGATGCATGTACTGCTAGAAACAGCATACAGGTGGGAAGCAGAAGTTACCAGGAACACTGAATGCTTACCTACGATCATTCAGACTGTTAATCTGTCATATTCTACAAACCAGCATTTGACTGAAACTGATCGAACTTTCTGTGTTAGAAGTAGCAAGGCTTTGATTAGATTTCATAATGACTTCAAGAGTCTCCCTCTACTCAGGAAATCTCAGATTTCTGTGTTTTTTGTTTTACAAGATACACTAATTGCAACAATTTTGATTGATCACATAGGACATCCTAAATATTTATGTGCAAGTTTAAGATCCACCAACAAATCATGCTTTTTATTTCAAAAATGCAATTTTTGATCAATAGTACATGGTATTTGATGGGTAAAAGTTTTAAGGATTCACATGAGTAAAATCATCATGTGTATCCTAGACAACGCCCAGTAGAATATATAATTCCATATTAAGTGAGATTTCAAGGCTATAACATTATTAGTTTCAGAGCAAATAAGGAATGACTCTTTTAGTCTTTCCATCCAATTCTACTAATTTTGTTTATAAGTTGAGAAATAAATAAATGTGGAAAATATTAGATATTAAATCATTAAATATGACAAACAGATTTAATATTAAGTATCTGGATAAATTAAGGGGACACTATGAAACAACATCCTGGAAATTTAACAAAAGGAGAAAACAGGTTGGATTCGGAGTTAATCATGATTTCATCAGAAATCCACTGAAGTGCATAGCAAGATAGCTACCACTAAATCCCACTGATTTCAATGGATATATTCTAAAAACAATTAACTGCAAAGTATATGTGTTTCCAAAAGGTACCAAATTAAAAATAATAATAATAAATGAGATATAGGTGGCAGCAAACTGGGCTAGGAATAGAATATTATGTACAGATCAAATGTATCAAATCACCTTGGAACAGTGTTTTCCTGGAAAATTTGTTCGGATTGATTTGTTACCTTTTGGAAACAAGCTCCACATATGTCTCAGGCACATCAAAAGACATGCTTATGAACCATGTCAACCTTTCCTGATCTGATGTCCTCTACATGTATTATTCTGGCATTGAGATTCCTATCATCTATGGGCCCTTCCAAACAGGCCCTATATCCTGGCATCTGATCCCAGGTTTTCTGTTTATCCCAGTTTATCTGGCAGTGCGGACTCATATAATCCAGTTTAAAGCAGAAAACCTGGGATCAGATCCTGGAATATAGGGCCTGTCTGGAAGGGCCCTATGACTACAACACACTCTGGCAGGAATTAGTGGTGATGCTCTCTAAAAGAGGAAGTAGGTTGGTTGGGTTAGACAGGGTCATATGCAAGGCTCAGTGTATTTAACAGAGTTTGGAAAAAGGTATTTACAATTCATTGGTAAATATAAAATAGTAGCTAGCACCTGCACTTTAATAAAAATGCATAGCATAGTAGTGTGTGGGAAGGAGATGTGGTTGTTTTGTATCAAATGAAGTAAAAAATGTACAAAGCACATGACTGTTATTTTGACAGCTGACAATGGTGAGTACATTTTACTTAGCTATTTTTAAAATAGATAAATAGAAATAATAACAAATCATATACAGAATCATGCATGAAATATTCATTATAAACTAAAAAACATATCGGGAGCCCTACCTGTCACAGAAACATATTTGAACATCTTAAGACTAGTAGAAGCCTAGCAAAGAAACTGTGAAGATGACAATCCTGATAAAAATGGTTATTTAGATCAGTCGCAAATGCATAAAGAAAAACAAAAGAAGATACACTAACCAATTGCAAGACCATCACTGAAATTGTGTAGTCCGTCTCCCATAATGACCATCCAGGCTAGGGTTGCTATACCAGCATCCTTCAGTTCTTCTCGTGAATAGCGCTGACTATGGCTGTGGGGATGATGGTTCTGATGGTGATGGTGATGCAAGATATGATGGTAGTCATGGTGATGATGACTCAGATGGTCCGACTGTCCCAGAGTGTCATGCAAATGTGAGTGGCATTTGTTTCTGCACCCTCTGGATGCATATTCGTTGTCAGCAGTCTCCTGATGAGAGTGAGCGATCATCACTTCTTCTTCTTCTTGCACCACTGGCTTCTGAGAGATGAAATTTGATTGCTCTTGTGAGTGTGTCTCCAAATAAACTTCAGGTCCTTGATAAAACAAGGGAAAAGCAGAACTAAGAAACATTTTCGAATAAATCTGAAACAAACAAAACCCAAGAGACCTTAAAACAATTATTTGTCCCAACCAGAGATGTACTGAATCAATTGCTAAGCCAATACTTGTGTAAATGCTCAAAGTAACAAATACATTTAGGCCAGGGTGTACAGGAATATATGACTTTACTGCCTACTACAGCATTTTCAACATTTAATTATTTTATTCTTGGAAAACTTAGACTGTTTCTATATTTACACACCTCCATTGGAGGCACACAGTGTGGTACGGTCAAATATTTATTCCTCTTTCATTTTGTTATCATTGGTAGCATCAATTTAAACTTGTAAACTAGACACGTATTTAATGAAATACCTCAAATATTGGATTGCATGCGCCTTCAAGTTATCTGTCAAGGTATGGTACCCCACCCTTGAATTCTTAGCATTTTCTTAGGAAAGGAATACTAAGAGGTGGTTTTGCCAGTTCCTTCTTCTGAAATATAACCTATAGCACTTGGATTTCATTGGCAGTCTCCAAGTAGTAACCAGAGCTAACCCTCTTAGCTTTCATCATCAGATGGAATCTCGTATCTTTAGGGTATTTAGGCCCTCCTATTAAGATTGTATGGAAACTTGTTTTAAAAGGCTACACCTGAACAGAGCCCCACAACACCAGAAGCCATGTTTGACATCTGTAAAAAGCAATGATTGACTGCAAGACAAGTTTTCAGACTCTGTAGTTGAATCTACGGACCAGCTGCTGCAGAGGGTGTACAGGGAAGTTCACAAAACTGCTCTCTTGTGTGAAGTGGTCACACTGCATGTTGAAAGAACACTAGTCTCAAAATGTTTTATCTTTTAACTCTAATGAAAGAAACCTCTTTCATAAGACCACTCTCAATCTTGGAAGTTACAGGACATGAGGCACCGCCATACTCTTTTGGACCTCTGTAATAAAGAGTGGGGATGGGCAACTCCTCTTGGGTGAGGGGGCATCTTTCAGGATGGGCAAGCACTTGGGTTTAAAGCAGTGGTTCTCAACCTGTGGGACTTCAGATGTTTTGGCCTCCCAGAAATTCTAACAGCTGGTAAACTGGCTGGGATTTCTGGGAGTTGTAGGCCAAAATACCTGGGGACCCACAGATTGAGAACTACTGGCTTATGGCTTAGTGAACTTGGAAACATTGAGAATATTACCACTGATCATTTTTTCCATTTATATTTTACTAGCCGTCCCCTGCCATGCATTGTTGTGGCCCAGTTTGTGTATATGTGCTTTGCGTGTATATATATTTCTGTACATGTGTATATATGTATGTTTGCATATAGATGTGGTTATGTGCATGCGTTGTAATATATATATATATATATATATATATATATATATTATTTGGCTTTTAAGTTCCTTCTGCTGTGTTTTTCAGTGTTTTATGAGTGATGGTCACTCATCGGCCTGATACATGTATTGTGTCCAAATTTGGTGTCAATTTGTCCAGCGGTTTTTATCTCACAAACAAACATTACATTTTTATTTATATAGATATTTAAAATACATTGCTAAGAAATAAAATTTGGCATGTACAGTTAAATAATCGCCCATACATAATTATTCCGTATTTAGAACGACTGATTTCATTATTAACAAATAAAATCCCACCCACACATTAAGAAATAAAATACCTGTACCTGATTATCCTTAAATGTATACTTGGTTATTATTAAATAGATTGACTCTAATGATATGGGGTATTAAATGTGATACTGATCATCCCATGCACTACAGTCAGCTTCATAGCATTGACTATAGTGTAGTTAACTGTCAGCAATAAAATACAATGGCAATTTCAAACACAGAATTGTGGGGAGTATTTGAGGCTGTAAGTAGGATATGAAGATTACATTTACCCCAAGAGATATGAAAGAAAAGTTAATATTTTTTTAAGGACAGTAAGAATCCATTATCTATGAAAAGCGTAAACTGCTCTACAACAGAACAATTTCTCCAGAACAAAAAGCTAGAAAGAACAAAAACTATGCAATGAAAAGAAGATCAGTCTTGAAATTATGGGTCTAGTAACCTCTAGTGGTGAAGTGAAAGAAGTTGTCAGTGAATTATTAATCATCATAGTAACCAGGCAATGTGATAAACAATGATGATAAATTTAGAATCAAGAAATTCAGCTTCTAAGTCGTGAATAATATGAGATAGGCTTGCACCTGCGCTAGCTTATCAACCAGTTCCACTATCTTCCATCTCAACATCTACAGCAATTAGTGAGGTCTTATTTTATAGAAGCCACTGCCATCTTCCTACATCTGGGTGGGAGCCGCTGGATGTGTCATCAGCCAAACTGTTTATTGAGCCAGAATAACTCAACTGCAAGCATGGTATGTTAGAGATGTTTTGCCCGCTCTCACAGGAGGTGAACATGGATGGAAAAAGTGTTTTCCCATCATTCTCTGCTTTCAACTGGGAAGCTTTTGCAATGTTCTTTGATCAGAGGAAAATGGGAGCGAAGCCATTTAAAACCTATGTCCTTTGTTTAATCTCTGTTAATCTTTGTGTGTTTTAATACGCATTTTATAGAAATACATTTTAATATGTATCTTTTATAGAAATACATTTTGATATATGTATTTGTGGTATTTTTACAATGTTTATGTAAAAATTATTCTATAACCTGCATCGAGTCATGAGTAGAGCTGGGTAAGAAATAAAGTAATAATAATAATAATAATAATAATAATAATAATAATAATACAAATATTAATAAACTATTATTATTATTATTATTATTATTATTATTATTATTTCAGAGGTTGGGGGATTCCTACAAGCACCTTTGAGGATGGGACAGAGTCGGAGAGAGGCAAGTCCTATTGTACAAACAGAATCCCATCCATCAACAGATGAGTGAAAATAATTGTCTCTTTTTATACATACACTAGAAAAATGAATACAGTTGACCTTCCACACTTGCAGACTTGATCTTTGCGGATTTGATTACTTTCCGATTTGATTAAAATGTTATCTCTAGGAATCTCTAGAGAATTTTTATGGAAACGGACAACAGAGTCATGCTGAAAGACCTGGAGATTCCATGAGAGAACAATTCTATGTGCCTTTCATCATAATTCTGTGGTCAGCCTCTGGCAGACATTGACCACAGCATCATGCTGGAGGACCTTTACATTTCCAGAGAGGTGTTTTGTTTTTGTGTGTGGTTTTTCATTTAAAAATGACATTTTAAAACTTCAAAGCAATGATAGACACCGACTTCTTATTCTCTCCTGGCTTCAATTAAAAGCCAGTCCTCCATTTAAGAGGTCAGCTAAAGGATCACTCAGTGCTGCATCATTAAGCACACAAAACAAGCCAAGCTTCCCAAGAATTCATTCAAGCACAAAAAGGATATCTATAAAGCACCAAACAGCAACGCCTATTAGATGTGGCAATATAAAAATGCTCCCTTTGCAATAAAATAAAATAAAATAAAATCAAGCACTGCAATGTTTTAAAATTGGGTTCCTAATATCATGAAGAATTAGAAGAGGTTTTAATGGGCAATTCAATGAATTGTTTATGCCTTAAGCAGCAGCAACGTATCACTCACAGTGAGTTGCAATCTCTTCCTGCTTTTAGGAACAGAGACATTTATTTTCAATGTCACTTCATAACAAATAGTACAAATGTATCCTGCATCAGTGAGAATTTGTTCTTGGAAAACAATGTATCACCCATATAATCAGCACAAGGGAAGGCCTAAGACAAACGTTATTGATGTAAGCTATGCCTCTATGGCTTCCTTGAAGTAACTGGCTTGGCTCTGAAGGAGCTGGGGGAGGTGACGGCTGACAGGGAGCTCTGGCGTGGGCTGGTCCATGAGGTCACAAAGAGTCGGAAATGACTGAACGAATGAACAACATGCCTCTAAACCAGTGGTTCTCAACCTGTGGGTCCCCAGGTGTTTTGGCCTACAACTCCCAGAAATCCCAGCCAGTTTACCAGCTGTTAGGATTTCTGGGAGTTGAAGGCCAAAACATCTGGGGACCCACAGGTTGGGAATCACTGCTCTAAACTTTGGAGTCTTCAGAACATCTCAGATTGCATTAATATGCGGGAGGATCAGCAGCAATGAGAATAAAAGGCTGTTCACCATATCAATAACAAAAATAAACACCTAGATGGCCAAACAAAACAAAGAAGTTGTGAAAACCCTTTGGCACAGCTCTTATTCAAGGGTGGGGAGTGTCATTAATGATTAATTAAAGATTGCTGTTGTTGTGTGCCTTCCAAGTAGTTTCAGAGTAAGGGTGAAAAAAATATAAGAAAAATATTGCTGGTCTTACACATCAGATTGCCTGAGATGCACTGTTTCAACACATTCTAAGATATTGCTTTTCACATGCAGAAATCCCATGTGCAGCTGCAAAAAGACTGCAAATAATCATTTGTAACCTTTTAACTAGCATAAATGTACATTTTAATGAAACTTACTGTCATCTATATCCATTTTTTCTTCATTATTTGAAAGCTGAGAGTCATATTTAGACAACTGCTTCTTGATCTCTGCTTCATCATCTTCATTTTTTTTCTGGCAGCAAAAAAAATCCCCACATAGAGAAGTTATTTTAGCCACACACAGAAAGTATTGATAGAGCATACAGACTACAGTAACTGATAATGCAGAATAGATAACAACTTAAGATGTACACAGGTGACACACAACTCTATTACTCATTTCCACCACAAGCCAAGGAGTCCTGAACAAATGCCTGACAGCAGTGACGAGCTGGTTGAGGGCTAACAAACTGAAGTTTAATCCAGACAGCCACAAGGACAGTCGGGTATAGGGTGGCAACCTGTGTTCAATGGGGTTTACCCCCTCCCCCAGGACACAGGCCAGCAGTCTGGGGGTCCTTTTGGATTCAGCATAGACACTTGAAGCTGAAGCCCAGACTTTGCACAATTAAAACTTGAGCACCAGATGCAACCGTACCTCAAAATGTCCGACTTAATGGCCACGGTGGTCCATGCCTTAGTTACATCTTGTATGGATTATTGCAATGCACTCTGCGTGTGGCTGCCTTTGAAGATGGTCCAGAAGCTTCAATTCGTTCAAACATCTGCAGCCAGACTGCTTATAGGGGCAGGTTGTAAGGAACATGTGACCCGCCTCTTAAAGCAGCACCACTGGCTACCAACTTGTTTCTGGGTCCAATTCAAAGTGCAGATTAGTACCAACAAAGCTCTATATTGCTCAGGTCCTGCCTATTCACGTGACCATATCTCCTTATGAATCTGCACGAATCTTAAGATCAGCTGGGGAGGCCACCACTTGATCCCCCCCCCCCCCACAAGTGAGGTTGGTGGAGATGAGGGAGAGGACCTTCTCGGTAGTGGTCCCATGACTGTGGAATGCTCTCCTCAAAGAAGTAAGACAAGCACCTACACTTTCAACTTTTAGGGAGGAGTTAAAAACCTGGCTATTTAAGCAAGCTTTTGACAATGGCTAGAGTATTACTTAATTATCAAAAACAGGATTTGAATGACTATTAGAACATAATGCTGCATACTCTGACAACAGGAACATACTGGTTTAAACATTCATATTTATATTTTTTTTGGAGGGCAAATAGCTTTTAAACTGTTATTTATTAATGTTTTATTAGTTTACAATTATAATTTTATGATAATTGTTTATTGCTGTTTCTGTCTATTACTTATATTTTCTGTATTTGTGGAAAGTCCCTTCAGGGAGAGCAGATTGGGTATAAATAAAATTATTATTATTATTATTATTATTATTAAGAAAAAGTAAAAATACTTTAAGGAAATCTCACACTAATATTTAAAAAGCAAAACCATTTAGCTTTGGCTTTTTAATTTCAGCCTAAATAAAACATTTCAAATAACTCAGATTCTAATGCTCATTCCAAATGCAAAATATTTTCAACATCAATCTATTTTTAAAAAACAAAAATAACCGTGTTTCATACTTGATAGGCACATTTAAAATGATCTAATGAAAAGATAAAACTCCCTCGAACCAACTCGGACTCAATAAATTATCTGGAAAAATATTATATTGCATTTAAAATTGATTAAATATAATATAATCATGGAAAAGTAAATTAAGCTCACTGTATAATAAAATTCTTTAGTAGTATGAGGAGGGGGGAGGAATACCCAAGCATTCTGTTTTACTTATGACTGGAGAAGAATAATTTATTTTAATTTTACAAGATGTCTTACATTTAAAATTCAATCATATTTATCATCAACTGTGAGAATTGTACTTATTGTGGCATCATATAACAAAAGGTAACATCACCAACAATAGTGGATGCTGCTCCAAGATTATGTGAAGACTGTTAGTTTCAGTACTAGAGAAACATGGAAGTCAATAGCCAGATTGTCTCTAGAGAAATGACAAATAGTCTCTAGAGAAATGACAAAATGACGTTAAAGGAAAAATGCAACAAGGAAAGGAAATTCTGGGAAATCAATCTGAAAGCCTTGATAAACCCTGGTAAAACTGTTTCTTGTGACTCTTAGATGGGAATTGAGCTTTGTCAGCAAAAGAAATACTCCCTCACTTCTAACTTTTTGTTTTAAATGGGGGAGGGAAGGGAGTATGAGGCTATTGCCGTATCCTAGGGAACTGCCTGTGACTCCTTGAGCCCTACTTTGCCCACCTCATAACAGAATAAGGATTTTGAATCAAAGATTCCAGCAGAAGGAAATAAAGCAGAAGATTATCTTTCCTATGGAAACCAACACTAATAAAGCACAGCAATTCTGCTTACAGTTCTGGCAACAAAACTATGGTTGCCAAAATAGTAAGCAAATTTGCTGTGAAAGAAAAGACTCCCCTCCATTATGACTCAGGTATGTCTGAAGGTTAGATACAATTGGAACTCCCTGTTTTTTCAAGTGATAGTGGGAGGGTAAAGTCATAGATTAAAATTTGTTTTCGTACCTTTTTTTTCTTGTCTTTAAACTGCTTAATTAAAGTGATTAAGTGCTCAACAAGAAACATAAAATATAGTCCACCAAGTGCAGTGAGGCCTTTCCAGGTAGAATCCAAATACGCATTTTCTTCTGAACTTTGAAATACAAGATGCTTAAAAGAGGAATCTTTACTATGTTCTGCTACTGGCTTCTCATGATGGTGGTGATGGTTTCCATGAGACTAAAGATGGGAAAATAAGAAGGAAAATACAACACATTCAGCCAGGTTTCCATACAGGACAAGCTGGGGCAAAGGCAATTCATCTGGCCTTAATTAATAATGCAGTCTAATGTTTAATATGATTAACTGATAGCAATTCTCAGAGGATTCAAGAGAGCTTTGCGTGCAGATGACTGGATTAGCCAGAAGACAAAGTGCCTGCAATCTGAAAATCACAAGAAGCGCCAAAGTAAGTATGACTCATGATGTCAAAATGGTGGAAAATAATCTTTCCCCTCATCTGACAGTACCAGAACTTGATAAATTCTCATTGAGCAGGAAAGAAGGGTTTCATGAAAGAAGTGTACGAAAATTAAAACTACTACTTTGGAATCAGGGGCAAAATGCCAATCACATGGATCAGTGCCCTAATTACTAGCTTGTAGATTCCCCAGATGTATCTGTTCATTACTGTAGAAAAAATTATGTTGAACCAGAACAAGCCTTTCGTCTGATCTGGCAGGGCTCTTAACATTTGCACAATATCAAATGCAGAAAATTAATTAACACACACTTTAAAAATGTAAATAGGAACACCCCTGGGGTGATGGCAAGAGAAGGAATTTAACTATTTCCCCATCACCCCTGTGGTCCTATCTTTCCAACTGTCCTGCTATCCCTTTCACCAGATAGGACATATCTGCGATAGAGCAGGTCCCTACAACCTGTAGCCTCCAATTCCCAGAAGCCTCAGGCAGTTTGTTCAATGATCAGTATTTCTGGGAGCTGAAGTCCAAAACACTTGTGCAGCTGCAGGAGCCAAGAGGCCTGCTATAGAGTACTTCATGGTGCCCCCCATGTTCTGATGCCCCTTGGCCTCTTTTCACTATCTTTATCAGAGCTGGATTATCCCTATATCTGTAAAGAAAAGAACACTTAATATCTAAGGCAGGGGTCCTCAAACTAAGGCCCGAGGGTCGGATACGGCCCTCCAAGGTCATTTACTCGGCCCACACTCAGGGTCAACCTAACTCTGAAATGACTTGAAAGCACACGACAACAACAACAATTCCATCTCATCAGCCAAAAGCTACTAATACTAATACTAACTAATAAATTTATATTTGTTAAAATTGTTCTTCATTTTAAACGATTGTATTGCTTTAAAGTGTTTTTGCACTACAAATAAGATATGTACAGTGTGCATAGGAATTCATTCATGTTTTTTTTTCAAATTATAATCTGGCTCTCCAACAGTTTGAGGGACTGTGAGCTTTAAAAAGTTTGAGGACCCCTGATCTAAGGCCTGAAATTAGATGCAAACTACAGAATCATTCCATTAAATCATTTGGAATAAAGGAGGACTCCTACAACGTTTCCTTTCCCTACTTGCAGGCTTGTCTTCATGATAGCATTTACCCTATATTAATACAATTTAATACCACACGGTTCCTTAATATGAACAAAATGATACTATAGTGATACTTACATGTGGAAGGAGGTGTAACAGAGCATCTCCACTTAAAGTACCAACGGCTAATGCCACAAGAAAACTTAAAAGGAACTTGAAAAAGACACGATTCATAAGAGGCACCAATATTACACCCAGTAATGAAAGAACACTGATGATGGAAATGGCTATAAATCCTCCAATCCAAGCTGAAAAAGAGACAAAACATTCTAGCAATCACCTCAAACAGACATTGAATAAAAGAGTTCTTAGTGCCACATAGGTTCTGAAAAAGCTGGTAAATTTCTGAGCAGCACAGAAACATCTTGGTATGTTTTTGCTTTGTCAAACATTCAACATAAACTTGTTAACTAAGAAGACTGAATAATCAGCATTTGAACATTAGTTTAAACTCCTTTCCCTTCAGAACACAACTGCAAAAACATATTTAGAAGTAAAATCCAGAAATAATATTTTGCTCAATACTTTGTTTTTAGTACCTATTATTAAAAATGAGGTGCTAAGAAAGAAATTGTGACATCGCGAGGAAACCTACCTACTTGCAATGAGAATGTTTTTGGAGGATTTTCTGCCTTTTCACTTGTTGCATGAATTAAACAATATCTGCCATCAATCTGATTAACAATAGCTGGACAAAGGTAACTGAAGTCTGTGGTTGTCAACAAAACTTGTGTATTTATTCCATGAGAAAGCATGAGCTTAGATGCATTGAAGCACTGCAAAAGAGGGGTAAAATTCAGGAAAGCAAAAACATTAGATCTAATTTGAAATTGTAAAAACTCTCAAGTAAGTGATAAGCTTAAAGTGTCCTGTTTTAAGAAAAGAAACAAAACATGCAAAAAGCAATTTCACCTATGTTCATTACACGGAAAGAGCCTCTTTGAAGACTGAGTAAATACAATAAGGCGTACCCTGGGCAAGGCTTCTTGTAAACTGCAAATCTTTATAACCCCAAAGTATTGCTTTACAGCATTTTATGCAACACTTTTGACAAAATAAAAATATATATAAGAGAAAACAAAAAAATGTGCTGACCATATATAAAATTTCCTAGTACTAACTTGAACAGCTTAAAGTTGAAACTGCATATCAGAACACTACAGTTAAGAAGTAAATAAAGTAAAAAGAGATAAAAGAGTTTGTTCCAGAAGATCTTTGGGTTGACGGAATTCCAAATACAAACAAATAAGAAAATATTATTACAACCAATATGACAATATGATAGATCTGGTCAGTCAACACTCACTTTAGGCATCTTGAGGCTTTTTAAAACCCTTTAACTCCTGGGATATTTAAGTTAATATGCAAGTTTGAGACTGAAATACTGCGCCATTACTAATGTTAATGAATTCTTGTAAATAATAAGATAGAAGTACTTGATTCCAGTACAGCAACCCAAATGCTCTGAGCTAAACCCTTCCAGGTCTACCAGTTTATACTTTATGCCACACAGAATAGTACTGTGTAGGTAGGTAGTTCTTTAAAACATTATATCCCATGAAATTCCTATTTTCAGCTTCAATAGGAAAGTTGAAACTAGCAAATAAATATATTAAAAGGTGTTATCTTCTCTTGGGAGAAACTGAGCGATTGTTCAATGGAAATTTTGGTATCTTGACTGCAGTGACAGAAATGACACCATGCAGATATAGACTGTACCTACAGGGATGTAAAAATAACAGTATTTACAGAAATCTGACGAAAGGATTTACAAGGGTTGAACTTATTCATAGCTGACTATGAAAATGCTGGTGCAACAGTTTGCTGGAAATGAGAGAGAAGAAATTCAGTTACATGGCCAGTTAACGGAACAGGGCTTCCAGTTAAACTTTTCTCATTTTTTAACTTTGTAGAATATCAGATCCTTTCATACTCTCACTTAATCCAGAGTTGACTTCTGTCCCCTGATTTATTAACAAAGAACAGCCAGATTTATTTATTCTCTTGAGATGACCAAGCAACAGACTGGAGTTCTGGATTGTTGTCTGATTTTAGGCAATACAATACATGACCTATTATGTCACTTCTAACATCTACGCCTTAAAATGATATGTTTTCCACATTACCTGCCCAATTTTCAAATTTTAAGATGCATATAAATAGCAACAAAAGCCAGCTTTGGAGTCAAACAAATTGGCTGCAGGAAATTCAAATTTTAATCCAGGTTTTCAGAGAGATAAGGTTAGGTAAACAAAATTACATTATTCTAAGAAATCTGCAGTCCCTAAAATTGGTTTTTAAATTGGTCTTTACACTTTTGAAAGGAATGTTTAAATCTATTTTACTGCACATAACTTTGAAAGCTCCAATGTGAAGAAAAGCAGTAAAAAAAACCAGCAAAAAGTGTACCTTCCCCCTTTAAGAACCATGTATCAAAATATACAGAGAAAGCAAATGGGAAGTACTGTGAAAAAGAAAATCACGGCTATAGACTAATTTAGGAATCATGCTTTGCTGTCACTTTTTATGTCACATTGCTTACTGGGTACTAAGCAGCCTCTACAGTGGCCCATCCTCTCCCACCACAATGTTTACCCCAAAAAAGTCATTTCACCCAAGATCTCTTTATAGGGTTGTAAAAATGTTGTTGTCAGGGGCCTTCCCTTTTTGAAATTTGGGGGGGGGGGGATGGCAGCAAAGACAACCAGAATTCATGTTAATCACTTCTATTTGCCCTAAACATGGGCTATGACAATAAACTATAGCCTTCTGGAGCTCCAGAGAAGGCAACAATATGATCCTGTGAGTCTAGCACACTTACCCAAGCATGTGGAAATAAAGGGGAGTGTGTGTGCATTAGTAACACCCAATACCCACTGAAGTGGGAAATCCAGGCTTCTGAATTATAAATTGCTTAAATCTAAAGACAAAAAGAATTCCAGCACAAAACTCCTGGAACAACTCTGTCTGAAAAAATATTGGTTGACCTTTGCATGCGTTTCTATAATAGCAGAAAGCACAGACATAAAACCCAGCAAAAGACTTTGAGACCAGCAGCGGACAACTTGTCAAGGATAATTACTTCTAAGTAAGTACCTCTTGTGTAACTGGTTTTCTTATTTTGGAATACATATAACTTCCTCTTTCCGATTCCTTCACAACAGTGAGCGATTCATTTGTTTTTCCATGTAACAGTACACTCATGTTGTTGCTTTCTACACTGGGGTTGGGGCTGGCAAAGCTTGTATGTGTAGATTTCAATTCTGCAGCCTCCGAATGCTCTACCAGAGGGCCGCCCTCTGTGCCCAAGGTGTAGGTGGATGCAGTCATAGCAACCGTGGTGCTCTTCGTGTGCACAGGACCTGGCTGATGCTCCGTATGCTCTGTATGCTCTCTTGCATGATTATTATGGACCTCTTTGTTTCCATTGCCAGATTCATCACTAGGGCAAATGGCTTTCTCAGAGTTTGTCGTGGGAGCAACATGATTATGACGGTGGTGATGGTGTTCATGATCTAGGGAGATTCTTTTCATCTTCTCAATGCCCATATTTCGTAACAGTTTTCTAAACCCATCAATAGTTAATGTATTGTTCTCCCCGTAACGAGAGAAGAGTTCCAGAAGGTGACATCTCTGCATGTACTTGGCCAAATCAACATTGATCCCAGCTGCCATCTCGGGAATGAATTTCTCTGCTGTTTGTGAAATAGTGGCTGGCTCCAAGCCATGGCTGCCAGCTCCACGAAGCAAGAGAAGAAAAATTATATGAAGCTTGTTTGCCATGGTCAAGTCCTGTAGAGAAGGAAGGAAGGAAGCAATCGTGAAAATTCTCAGGTTTCCTGCTCTGTAATTGATTCAGTACCCATACATGTAATATTCTGCAGAAAATCACTGCAATTACAAATGTTCTATTGTACAATTCAAAATGACATCAGTCAGCCCTCCACATTTGCTGGAGGTTAAGGGTGCAGGACCACCACAAGGCCGAAAAACTGTGAGTCACCCCCCCTCCCCAAGCACTTGAAAGATCTAGGTCGTCCGGTACAACACTATGGTCAACTTCTGGTGGATGTTTACAGGGTCAAGCTGGAGGACCTAGACATTCCTAGGGAGGACGTATTAATCAAATCTGCAAAGTTAAACTCACAAATCAGGGGGCTGGCTGTATTATATAACTCTCAGTAAAATCCTATCAAGGATTTCAGCCAGTCAGCCATACTCTCTATCATTCATTCAATCCCCACAATCTATTTTCCCATACACTCTAAATGTCACAATTATATATGCCCTGAATGTGTTCATTTTTCGCAGAGATGTTTTGTGTTTCTTCTCCCTTTATTACCCCCCGCCATGATTTTTTTTGGGGGGGGGGAGGGGGGATAGTTCTGCAAACCTTGGGATCCCCAAGCCTTCCAATACTTTTTTTATTTTAGAAGGATAGTACTGGCTTGGATACACTGGGATCAACACTCAGAAAAATGGGTTTAGTAATATCAGTGAATGAAAGGATAACACAGTGGCAAAAATTACTTTTAACATCAATTCTGCCTCACAACTGCATACAGATCTATCCTGACAGCACAAGATAAGACAAACAATAACAGAAAACCAGGTTCAATATAATTACTCATAATCACCCAGGGCCCTTCCACACAGCCATATAACCCAGAATATCAAGGCAGAAAATCCCACAATATCTGCTTTGAACTGGGTTATCTAAGTCTACACTGCCATATATCGAGTTCAAAGCAGATAACATGTAATTTTATTCAGCTGTGTGGAAGGAGTCCCAGTCTCATTAATTGTCTTGTCTTTGTGCCCAACCAAAAAATTTAGGTGACTGAGAAAAAAAATTAATATTTTAAAACAGTAACGTTGCCCCATCCCACACAATCAATTATCAAGGCAGCATCAAAATAATATATTAGCAAATTTCCATCTCAAATGCTTGTTTGAACAGGTCCGGTTTCTTACCAGCATTTCTAAACCTTTACAAGACTTGGCTCCGTCTTACAGTACGAACACTTTTGTTCCATCTGTTCTCTCACCAACGTGACCTTATGGGAAGATGAAGCAGAGTTTCATCCATACACTTTAATGTCTGGGAGGAGGTGCATACAGAAGGTGGCACAAGAAAAGCTACTAAGTCTTGAAGGCTACAGGCCAGTAAGAAGTTTACAGGTAATTGCCACCAGCAATAAAACAGTAATAAAAGAGCATTTTATATTGGAAGGAATAATGTCATCATTTAAAGTCATGTCTAGACCAGTACTGATGAATTATTGCAGTTTATAGAATTTATAGCATTTTAATAGGTGCTGAGATCACACATAGAAAACATTATCTTCTTAGTGAGTCCAGATCTTTCAAATCACAAACTAAATAATTTTCTTTCAAAGCATAGATCTATATTCAGTGACTAGTATCAGTTGACCCAGTAATAGTTAAATATGTAGAATCTGTTTTTTTTTAAAAAAGTTTCTTGCAGACCATTTCAAAGTTTGTCCTGTGTTTAGAAGCCTCTCTCCTCGCCCTTAAGTTTGTTCTCTCCTTGATGTTCCATATTTGTTCAAATGAAACCTGTACATGACTTTTAAAAGATTTAAAGAACTCAAGTGAAGAAGTTGCTAGATGTAAAATAAAATTCCTGGATCTTGACACTCCGTTAGTTAGAACAAGATGTGCTTTGTTACTCATTGGCATGTATTATGTTGAGGAAATTCATTTTTGAGACTTTCAACTTATCTTTGATTGCACTATGTAACAAAATTGGAAAACATTTCTGTTCCTGGTTTGAAGTGTTATTTTCTGTTTACTTGTGTGGAACAATTCAAGTCATAATATAGGCCATTGTCATTGGAGTCGTCAGAAAACACGATGAAACATCCACGTCTTTAATTCCTTACGGAATGTGGCTAGGGAGGGTGCCAGCCTAATCTCCCTGGGGAGGGAGTTCCAGAGACGGGGGGGGGCACCATTGAGAATGCCCTCTCTCTCGTCCCCACCAACCGTGCCTGAGATGGGGGCAGGAGCAAGAGAAGGGCATCCCCGGAAGATCTTAAGGACCACATGGACTCCTAAGGTTGCTGTGAGTTTTCTGGGCTATATGACCATATTCCAGAACTATTCTCTCCTGACGTTTCGCCCACATCTATGGCAGACATCTTCAGAGATTGAGAAGTCTGTTGAAACTAGGCAAGTGGGGTTTATATATCTGTGGAACATCCAGGGTGGAAGAAAGAATTCTTGTCTGCTTGACGCAAGTGTGAATATTGCAAATGGCCACCTTGATTAGCATTTAATGGCCTTGCAGCTTCAAAGCCTGTCTGCTTCCTGTCTGGGGGATCCTTTGTTGGGAGGTGTTAGCTGGTCCTAACTGATTCATGCCTGGAATTCCCCTGCTGTTTTAGTGTTGCTCTTTATTTACTGTCCTGATTTTAGAGGTTTTTTTTAAATACTTGTAGCCAGGTTTTGTTCATTTTCATAGTTTCATCCTTTGTCCACATGGTTGTGGATTTCAATGGCTTCTCTGCAATTTGCAACATTCACACTTGCCTCAAGCAGACAAGACTTTAGTCTTTCACCCTGGACATTCCAGATATATAAACCGCACTTGACTAGTTTCCAACAAACCTCACAACCTCTGAGGATGCCTGTCATAAATATGGGTGAATCATCAGGAGAGAGTGCTTCTGGACCATTCGGACCTTACAGCCCGAATATCTAACAGCAATCTAGTGATTCCGGCCATGAAATCCTTCAACACATTGGATTGTATGAGTTTACACTGCCACATAATCCAGTTCAAAGCAGATAATCTGGATTTTTTATGGCAGTGTACATAGGGTCTGAGGATTCACTGCATAAGAAAACCCTATGAAGTTCATGGGTTCACCATAAATCAAAAGATGAGTTGAAGGCCCATCTACACACTGCTTCGGAGAGCACAGGACTTCAGCCTGTTCAGACAATCAATAATAATAATAATAATAATAATAATAATAATAATAAAAAACTTTATTTATACCCTGCCACCATCTCCCCAATGGGGACTCAGAGCGGCTTACAAGCTCTCAATGGTTCTGTTATTATGTGTTTCTTGTTGTGTGTCGAGTCATTTCGGGCTCATGGCAACCCTATAATGGATTTTTCTGAGGCTAAGAGTGTGTGGCTCGTCGAAGTGCACCCAATGGCCTTCTATGGCTATTTATTTATCATGTCAGAAGTGAACTGATAATACAGTTATAATGTATAAAAAGCCACAAAGTCTAAAACTTGGAATGATGCTAAATTTCTTTTGACCAGAAGCTGGCCACTTGGGAGTGTCTCTGGTGTCAATGTAAGAAGGTCCTCCATTGTGCATATGGCAGGGCTCAGATTGCATTGTAGTAAGTGGTCTGTGGTTTACTCTTCTCTACACTTCTATGGCTGAACCTTTCAAACCCAATTTTCCAGAGTCGCAGCCCAATGCTCGAGCCACTATGGGATGCTCTTGTTTGCGTTTGTTTCAAATAAAAAGACGATAATATGAACTTGTCCACTGAAAATGATAAGACGGGCAGGTCCCGTTTGCTATTGGGTGATGGAACCTGTGGCTGAGAAATTATATTCCTCTGATGGTGATCGGAGATGAAGGCAGTGAGCTCCCATCGCTCTGCTGAAGAACATACCAAGGACATGTTGTGGCTTGATCTGCGGAGGCGAAAAAGGGCTGCACCTGATGGAATTCCTCTCCCGCACAGCAATTATAAAGAAAGTCACTGGAAGCCAAACCTGGCAAGGCCAGGTTGGGACATCAGCAGCTAGAGCTGGTCAAGGGTCATACTGGCTAAACTGCTGGCATGAGCAAACTTCGATCCTCCGGGTGTTTTGGACTTCAACTCGCACAATTCCTAACAGCTGGTAGGTGTTAGGAATTGTGGGAGTTGAAGCCCAAAACACCCGGAGGGCCGAAGTTTGCCCATGCCTGGCTAAAGCAATGCTTCTCAAAAGGGGTGATTCTTGGAGCAGGTTGGGTTCTAAACCTTCTGAGAAAGGCATTACATTTTTAAATGTAAAAGCTATATATTTATTTATTTAAGACATTTATATGTTGCCCTTCTCAGTCCGAAGGGGACTCAGGGCAGCTTACAAGATATATATATATATATATATATATATATACATACATACAATATATTATATTATTAGCATAGTACAATATCAGTATTATATATTACTATATTGTACTATACCATTATAGTGTAATATTATTAGTAATATTACATGTAATATAAAATATATAATTACAATATTGTATTATTATTAGTAGTAGTATTATATTGTATTGAATTATAATATTAGGTAAAGGTTTCCCCTGACATGAAGTCCACTCGTGTCTGACTCTGGGGTGTGGTGCTCATCTCCATTTCTAAGCCGAAGAGCTGGCATTGTCCATAAACACCTCCAAGGTCATGTGGCTGGCATGACTGCATGGAGCGCCGTTTCCTTCCCGCCAGAGTAGTTCCTATTGATCTACTCACATTTGTATGTTTTCGAACTGCTAGGTTGTCAGAAGCTAGGGCTGACACCGGAAGCTCACGCCGCTCCTCAGATTCGAACCTGTGACCTTTCGGTCCACAAGCTCAACACTCAGCGGCTTCACCCACTGTCCCACCAGGGGCTCCTATTGTACTATACCATTATATTATAATATTATTAGAAATATTTTTTAGGTAGTGCCATTTTGCCAGGTTGTCTTTTGATCTGCCCACTCCACTTCTGAGTCTGTTCAGGGACTTCCACGTTGCCCATTCTTGGTTTGCCCCTGGAGGAGGACCCTCGTGGGGGGCCATCCAGTTGGGATTTCCTAGTCTAGCTGCCCAGAGGGATACCCTTGCTGTTGCTGGGGGGACGCCAAAGGGAGTGGTAGTTCTCATGAAGCTTTTCCTTGATTTGAGTCTACTGGGAGGAGGCTGGTAGCCATGTAGTGGATGGCTTTCACAGTGTTCAACCTTATTTTTCTCATATTTAGCAGCAACTTCCTGTCGCACATCAGGGGGGGCAATGCCAGCTAGCTTGTAGAGTTTATCAACAGGTGTAGGTTTAAGACACCCTGTGATTATTCTGCATCATTCGTTCAATGCTATGTTCACCTGCTTTGCATGGGCAGACCTATGCCAAAAGGGCAGGCATACTCGGCAGTTGAGTAAGACAAGGCTAGAACTTATTAATTTTGCGTCTGCACCCCATGTGCTTGACTACACATTGGAGGGAAGAATAGTAGAGGCCAAGATGAAGTACTTTGGCCACATCATGAAAAGAAAGGAAAGCTTAGAGAAGACAATTATGCTGGGGAAAATGGAAGGAAAAAAGAAGAGGGGCCGACCAAGGGCAAGATGGATGGATGGCATCCTTGAAGTAACTGACTTGACCTTGAAGGAGCTGGAGGTGGTGACGGCCGACAGGGAGCTCTGGCGTGGACTGGTCCGTGAAGTCACAAAGAGTCGGAAACGACAGAACGAATGAACAACAACAATCCCATGTGCTGCCAGTAAGTTTCCGCAGGATGTTATTGGGTGCAGCTACTTTGTGCTTGGTGTTCAAGCAGTGTTTCCTATGTCAGTGTTCGATTTAAGGTGACATCTGCACGTTTTCTATTTTTATCAGTTTTATACTAATTTATGCAATGCTTTTGATACAAAATAAATAAAATTAGAAATATTACATGTAATATAAAATATATAATTATGTTGTTGTTCATTCGTTCAGTCGTCTCGACTCTTCGTGACCTCATGGACCAGCCCACGCCAGAGCTCCCTGTCGGCCGTCACCACCCCCAGCTTCTTCAAGGTCAGTCCAGTCACTTCAAGGATGCCATCCATCCATCTTGCCCTTGGTCGGCCCCTCTTCCTTTTACCTTCCATTTTCCCCAGCATAATTGTCTTCTCTAGGCTTTCCTGTCTCCTCATGATGTGGCCAAAGTACTTCAACTTTGTCTCTAGTATCCTTCCCTCCAGTGAGCAGTCGGGCTTTATTTCCTGGAGGATGGACTGGTTGGATCTTCTCGCAGTCCAAGGCACTCTCAGAACGTTCCTCCAACACCACAGCTCAAAAGCATCGATCTTCCTTCGCTCAGCCTTCCCTAAGGTCCAGCTCTCACATCCGTAGGTTACTACAGGTTACTACATGGCTTTGACTATGCGGATCTTTGTGGCCAGTGTGATGTCTCTACTCTTTACTATTTTATCGAGATTGGACATTGCTCTCCTCCCAAGAAGTAAGCGTCTTCTGATTTCCTGGCCACAGTCTGCATCTGCAGTAATCTTTGCACCTAGAAATACAAAGTCTGTCATGGCCTCCACATTTTCTCCCTCTATTTCCCAGTTGTCAATCATTCTTGTTGCCATAATCTTGGTTTTTTTTGATGTTTAGCTGCAACCTGGCTTTTGCGCTTTCTTCTTTCACCTTGATTAGAAGGCTCCTCAGCTCCTCCTCATTTTCGACCACAATATAATACTAATAATAATACAACATTATAATATATATAATTATAATATTGTATTATTAGTAGTATTATATTGTATTACATTATAAATATTATATGTATTTACAATATATTATAATATATTATATTATTAGCAAAGCACTGGAGACAAGATGGGATTTATATATATAATTATATCTATTATAATATTATTATATTTATTAAGATTTTGATTATATTATTAATAATACTAATGGCCAATGGGCACAAACATGGTATGGATCCCAGAGACATGGGAAGGAGACTGCTAGGGGATTCTGGGAGCTGTAGTTTCAGGATGTCACTTGTCCAAGCTTGAACTGGCACAGCCCTGCTTCTGCCTCGCCCAAGGAGGGTTTCTCTGGAGTGAAGGCCAAAGGCCCACTGCATGAATGAGCAGGAAAGGTGAGAAGGCAGCAGCCAGAGCCTTTGCTTTGTCTCTCGCCCCAGGCCCGCCCCCATGGACCCCATGAGGCCAGGGCCTTCAGGTTGAAGACCCTCCCTCCGCCTTCACCCGTTGCTCCCCGAGTTCCCACATAAAACCGAGCCGGACACGGTTCGCGCATGCGCACTTCCTCCCGGGGAGCCCCCTCCCCTTTCCCCAGGCCCCCTCCAAGCGCACCTACCCCGCCCAGAGGCCGCGCGCCCTCGCCTTCTCCTCATGGGCTCCTTCCCGGCACGCGACGCCCCGTCCTCTCGCGCACCGCCTCGCGAGCCCCGCGAGCCGGCCTACAGACAAGGCGGGGAAAGAATGCAGCATTCCAAGTCCTCCCACGCCCTCCCGGCAAAGCGCGCGGCCAATCGGGACGCGAGTCTGCGTCACGAGCCCTGCGCGGAACCAATGGGCTTCGGCCTCCTCCCGCCTCGCCTGGCCGGGAGGAAAGAGGGCCAGACAAAAGAGGCTCTTTCTTTGCACGTGGTGGGAGGGACGGAGGATGTGCGCGGTCGTGATTTGCGCATGCGTGAACCAGGGGAGATTTAAATGCCGGCCAGGGTTTCTTTCTTGTTTATACATCAAATGTCCCATCTTTCTTTCTTTCTTTCTTTCTTTCTTTCTTTCTTTCTTTCTTTCTTTCTTTCTTTCTTTCTTTCTTTCTTTCTTTCTTTCTTTCTTTCTTTCTTTCTATCTATCTATCTATCTATCTACCTATCTAATCTACCTATCTATCTACCTATATATCTACATATCTATCTACATATCTAATCTATCTATCTAATCTATCTATCTATCTACCTACCTATCTACCTATCTAATCTACCTACCTATCTACTAGGCTTGGGTAACAACGGAAAAATTTGTTTCTAAACTCGTTTCGTTTTTAGGGGGCCCTTGCATTTCCTTTTTTTTAATAATTCCGAAATTTTCCTTTTAAAAATTTCGAAATATACGAAATTTCGTATAATTACAAATCGATTCGTTAATGGCGGACGCGATTGCGCAATATGCTAAAAAAACCTCCAAATGGGACAGGGGGAACTTCTGAAGCTTCCCTCTCCCTCTGTTGTTGACTGTTGGTGTGATAAAACAAACAACAACTATAAAACTTGCACCAGACATGCGAAAATAATTACGAAATAATTACGAAATAATAATGAAACAATAAAGAAATAAATTGAAAAAATTGTTTTGAATCTAATTTACTCCTCACACTATTCCTGCATGGCTCAATATTGGATCGTAAGCTAATTAAAATACGAATTAATAACGAATTACGAAATTAACGAACGAAACCGCCCAAGCCTACTATCTACCTACCTACCTATCTACCTACCTATCTACCTATCTAATCTATTTATCTAATCTACCTATCTTATCTGCTTATCTGTCTGCCTATCTATCTACATATCTAATCTATCTATCTACCTATCTACCTACCTATCAATCTACCTATCTATCTACCTACCTATCTACCTACCTATCTACCTATCTATCTACATATCAAAAACCACTTGACGAATTGCTACCAAATTTCGCCACAAGACACCTACTAATCCAAGGAGTGACCATCACTCAAAAAATTGCTTTTGTCATTTGGGAGTTGTAATTGCTAGGATTTATAGTTCACCTACAATCAAATGGCATTCTGAACTCCACCAATGATGGAATTGAACCAAAGTGGGAAAGAGGAGATGCGGAAAAAGGAGACCTCAAATTCGGCTTAATTCGGACCACTCATCTACATTAACAATCCCAAATCGGTCTCCTAGGGTAAATTGGTGTAACCAGGTTGGCGGGTCCTCCGGATTGAAGGTGGTGCTATTGAACGCCAGATCTGTCAACGGAAAAACGACCTTTATCCAGGATTTAATCCTGGATGAGCGGGCAGATCTGGCGTGCATCACGGAGACCTGGCTGGATGAAGCTGGAGGAGTGAATCTAACCCAGCTCTGTCCTCCAGGTTTCTCCGTGCAGCACCAGCCGAGATCCGGAGGTCGGGGAGGCGGGGTTGCAGTGGTCTATAGGGATTCCATCCATCTGACCAGGTGCCCCATCCCGCAGACCACGAATTTTGAATGCGTCCACCTGAGGGTGGGTGACCAGGACAGAATAGGGATTCTGTTAGTGTACCGTCCACCTCGCTGCACTACAGTCTCCCTACCTGAGCTAGCGGGGGTAGTCTCGAGCCTGGCGTTGGAGTCTTCACGGCTTCTTGTGCTGGGAGACTTCAATATCCATGCCGAGGCGACCCTCACTGGAGCGGCTCAGGACTTCATGTCGGCCATGGCAACCATGGGGCTGTCCCAACAAATATCTGGCCCCACCCACTGTGCTGGACATACATTGGACTTGGTTTTCTGCCAGGGATGGGAGCAGGGTGGCGGTGTGGAGGAGTTGTCCATCTCTCCGTTGCCATGGACTGACCACTTCCTGATCAGATTTAGGCTCACTGCGCCCCCCAACCTCTGCAAAGGTGGAGGACCCATTAAGATGGTCCGCCCCAGGAGGCTTATGGATCCGAACGGATTCCTGACGGCTCTTGGGGACTTTCCCGCCACCTCGGTAGGTGACCATGTCGAGGCCTTGGTCGCTCTCTGGAATGGGGAGATGGCCAGGGCAATTGACATGATCGCTCCGGAACGTCCCCTCTCAAGTAGCCGAGCTAAACCAGCTCCTTGGTTTACTGAGGAGTTGGCAGTGATGAAGCGAAGGAAGAGGGAACTAGAGAGTGTGTGGCGTTCGGATCCGAGCGAGTCAAACCGAGCACGGTTTGTGTCCTTTCTAAGGGCATATGCCGCGGCAATAAAAGCCGCAAAGAAAACTTTCTTTGCGGCCACTATTGCGTCTGCAAGGAACCGTCCGGCGGAGTTGTTTCGGATTGTCAGAGGTCTATTAACTCCCGCCACCTCAAGCGGGAGCCCTGACAATTCGGTCACGCGCTGTGAAGCATTTGCTCGGTTCTTTGCAGACAAAGTCGCCTTGATCCGCTCTGGGCTGGACGCCGCGTTAAATGCAGTCTCTGAGGATGTGACAAGAGCACCTGCTTGTCCTATTTTGATGGATTCTTTTCAGTTTGTGAAACCCGAGGATGTGGACAAGATACTTGGAGGAATGAGGCCCACCACGTCCATCCTAGACCCCTGCCCATCCTGGCTTCTGAAGGAGGCCAGAGGGGGATTGGCTGAGTGGGTAACGGTGGTGGTTAATGCCTCCCTTCGGGAAGGCAAGATTCCAGCGAGCTTAAAACAAGCTATTATAAAACCGCTGTTGAAGAAACCATCACTGGACCCCACTAAATTTGACAACTTTCGGCCTGTTTCCAATCTCCCCTTTTTGGGCAAAGTCATGGAAAGCGTGGTGGCCTCACAACTCCAGGTATTCTTGAGAGACACGGATTATCTGGATCCGGCACAGTCTGGTTTCAGACCGGGACATGGAACCGAGACGGTCTTGGTCGCCTTAGTGGATGATCTGCGCCGGGAGCTAGACAGGGGGAGTGTGTCCCTGTTGGTGCTCCTGGACCTCTCAGCAGCCTTCGATACCGTCGACCACGGTATCCTTCTGGGGCGCCTTGCGGAAATGGGCCTTGGGGGCACTGCTCTGCAGTGGCTCCAGTCATTTCTGGAGGGTCGTACCCAGAAGGTGTTATTGGGGGACTCCTGTTCAACACCACAGCCTTTGACCTGTGGGGTTCCACAGGGTTCTATACTGTCCCCCATGCTGTTTAATATCTACATGAAGCCGCTGGGTGAGATCATCCGGAGTTTCGGGGTGCGGGGTCATCTGTACGCAGATGATGTCCAACTCTGTCACTCCTTTCCACCTGCTACTAAGGAGGCTGTCGAGGTCCTGAACCGGTGCCTGGCCGCTGTAATGGTCTGGATGAGGGCGAACAAACTGAAATTAAATCCAGACAAGACAGAGGTACTCCTGGTCAGTCGCAAGGCCGAACAGGGTATAGGGTTACAGCCTGTGCTGGATGGGGTCGCACTCCCCTTGAAGGCGCAGGTTCGCAGCTTGGGTGTGACCCTGGATTCATCGTTGAGCCTGGATCCCCAGGTTTCAGCGGTGACCAGGGGAGCATTTGCACAGCTTAGGCTCATGCGCCAGCTGCGCCCGTACCTCGGGAGGTCTGACTTGGCCACGGTGGTACACGCTCTGGTCACATCCCGCCTTGACTACTGCAACGCTCTCTACGTGGGGCTGCCCCTGAAGACGGCCCGGAAGCTTCAGCTAGTCCAGCGCGCGGCAGCCATGTTACTAACTGGAGCGGGACGCAGGGAGCACACAACGCCCTTGTTGTACCAGCTCCATTGGCTGCCGACTTGCTACCGGGCCCAATTCAAGGTGCTGGTGTTAGCCTACAAAGCCCTAAACGGTTCCGGCCCAAAATACCTTTCGGACCGCATCTTGGCCTATGAGCCCACGAGGGCCTTAAGATCGTCCGGGGAGGCCCTTCTCTCGATCCCGCCTGCCTCACAGGCACGCCTGGCGGGGACGAGAGAGAGGGCCTTCTCGGTGGTGGCCCCCCGGTTGTGGAACACTCTCCCTGTAGACATCAGACAGGCGCCCTCCCTTATGTCTTTTCGTAAAAGCTTAAAGACATGGCTATTTGAGCAGGCATTTAATTAAATGCTACAATTAGTTTGGCAAAGACAACTGGAACGGAATTTGGATTATGAGTTTGGCTATGATTCTACTATGAGACGGAGCGGTTCATTTAGTGTAACTATATAATTGTTGTATTGTGGATATGCTGTTTTGTATTGCCTTTTGTAAATTGCCTTTTTATATGTTGTACACCGCCGCGAGTCGCCCCAGGGCTAAGAGCGGCGGTCAACAAATGCACCAAATAAATAAATAAATAAATAAAGTTGGCACACAGGACTCCCCTGACCAACAGAAAACACTAGAAGGGTTTGGTGGGGATTGACCTTGAGTTTGGGAGTTGTAGTTCACCTACATCCAGAGAGCACTGTGGACTCAAACAATGATGGATCTGGACCAAACTTGGCATAAATATTCCATGTGCCCAAATATGAACACAGATTGAGTTTAAGGGAAATAGACCTTGACATTTGGGAGTTGTAGTTGCTGGGATTTATAGTTCACCTACAATCAAAGAGCATTCTGAACTCCACCAATGATGGAATTGAACCAAAGTTGGCACACAGGACTCCCATAACCAACAGAAAACACCAGAAGGCTTTGGTGGGCATTGACCTTGAGTTTGGGAGTATTGTTTTTTAAACAGTGTAGTTCACCTCCACCCAGAGAGCACTGTGTACTCAAACAATGATGGTTCTGGACCAAACTTGGCACGAATATTCCATATGCCCAAATATGAACACAG